CTTCCGATCTAGATTTAAATACCATTCCTACCTTACAGAATTTTGGGCTGAAATTAACCAAGCTTTGTTTTTCCTTATGTACTTGTCCTGATTTGTTATTCATCGTTTCTTCTTCTTTTCTGGTTTTTCAAGTTCCAATTTTCTTACGTTTAGTTTCTTGTTTCATCTTCGTGCCTTCTAGCTAGCAAGTTAATACTATTATATCTTTGTTGAATATATAGAAATTGCCTGCGCGTATCTACATATAGACAACATTGGGTAACAAAATATTGCATTGATATAAAATATTTTTTTGAAAGATTTTAACCTGTATTGCATTTGGTTGGTGTGATTGGTGAATGGTGACCATGGTTTGGTTTGTAGTTAAATTGGCTTTTACAGCATCACATCCACTCCCACTTGGTTGTCCTCATATGATTCTACTAACATGTCAAAGTGAAACTATTAACTATATCGGTCCCTCCAAAATATGGTTGCCTTTCTCAACTTTTGCCTTTTTCTGTCTCTCTCTTCCTTTATTTCCCTCTTCTTTTACCTAAATTAGCGTAAGGAGCTATTCAAGTTTTCTAAAATGCTACTTTTCTGTTCCTTAAGCTGGTTACTGGTTATGAAAGAAAGTGTTCAAGCACGCCCCTCATAGGAAGATGACCCACACATACATAAAGAATAGGGTAAGGTGACCAAATTGACATTGTTTAACAAATAATGCTTTTGATCTTCCCATTACCACGTACGTACCTTTAAAGATATATATAAGACACTCAATAATCATACAATTATAACCATAAAGTTTTTCGGATAAATATCAATTTTCATTTAGTACTTTCTTTTTAATTATTTAAATTTCGTATATATGGATAAATAAGTGGATAACTTAACCTCCCAAAAATAAAGTGGATGACTTATCTCTTAGCAGTTCGATAGGGAAACTTGAAAAATACATTTTGAATAATTTCTTTAAATACGCTAAATATCGTTTTCAATAACATTTTAAATATTCATTTACAGATTATGTTATTAACTGATGTATATTACGTATATATTTTATCTCACATTTTAATAACTTTTATAGTATTATTATAATATGATATGATTTTTAATTGTAGTAATAATGAAGTGAGGTGGCTGATTTGATTTGTTGTTTATTGCGGGCAAATGAAAGATGGAAGAAACGACCCAGTCGTTTTAACTTTTTTCAATCACAATGAAAGGTGGCAGTGTGTAAAGCCAAATGTTTAGGTGAAGTGCTTGTTGAAACGACCAAATTAATTCACATTGGGAGACACGTGTACCTTAAAGAACTTACCACCTCTGTCTTTTATTTCTTTATTTATTTATTTTTATTTCCATTTTATTCACGTGTAATTAATTGACATGCTATCACAGTTTTCTGTATTTGCATTATTCACTGCTTCATTATGTTATACAGTAGTATTTTAAAATGGAAAAGAAAAAATACGAGCAATATAGTTACATAAGATTTTCCAAACAAATAATTTTTGACGTGAATAAATATATTAATTTAAATTACTTTATAATTAACTTACTGAAATATAAATATAAGATTTATTCATTTATTTTTTTTCTGACAATGATTTAGTTCATGTTATCGAGAAAAAAAATTGGCGTAATATATACAAGAATTTTTAGTTTGTAAAACAATTTATCCTCCTATATATCAAATAAATTAAATGTTATTTTAAATTTAGAATATATTTTTGTTTGTTGAGTGAATATTATAATATTCTATATATATTATATATTAAAAATTATATACCAACTTGAGTTGACAGAAATAGCAAAAAATTGATCATATCATTTATCAAGCGACTGAAATCAAATCCTGCCTCTTATTAATATAAAAAACTAGAGAGAGAATATTCATCTATTTAATGAGCATATCAAATATGATATTTTTAACTTATGAGGAATAATTTTCCAATAATAACATATTTTAAAAAATATATCTAATCCTACATCTCAAAACAAATTCTCTTACTATATATATGCTGAGGTACAATAATTAATTAAAATTAAAAATATTGTGAAACCCAAATCGTTGCTGCAGCAAATAGAGAGCTTCTCTTATTTGTAAATCAAAACCTTTCGAGTTTGGAGTTTATTAACATTAATTCTTAATTAGGTTGATTTTAAGTTTATTAAAATAACTAAAATTTTATTAGGAAAAAAAAAGAAAATAAGTATTAATATTTTCCTTTTCCTTTTCCTTTGCGTGCATGAATTAATAACTAATGAACCGTATATAATATCTACTTTTAGCTGTCTAGCAACAATGTTTTGAGCATAAAAATTTATATTTCTATGGTTTTACCGTTTTCCACGTGAGCCCCCCTTCCCTTTTTCCCCATAATAGCTCCTTTTATAGAACCATATGGAAAAACTATAAAGCATGAAATGCAGCTAAAGTTTCACCAGTTGACCCCTACTCAAATTCCACATGACGAATATCGATACTAAAGCTATCTGAACTCTTTAATTTTACAACCTTTTGTTATAGTTCATTATATACCTTCTCCTCAACCTCAAGTTTAATTTGCTTCTATATATTAGTATATACATACTTCGTATGAAACATTGTTTCTTAATTTATTCAAAATAATCAGAATGAAAATTTTCAATTGTAAAATAAAGAATGAAAGCTCAGATACATTAATTAATGAGTATATGTGGCTTAATTTCATCCACGTATATAACAATCAAGTGCACTAGCTAGGTCCGTTTGAATAATAATGGTGACTTATTTATATCTGGGACCTTCATGTTGAAGATATTTTGTTCACAATCTGAATCTAGCAACTGATTACAATTCAATTATTGGAGTTGAAGAGTATTATTCTACTCCATTTTTCAATTCTTTTCCCCGCTAACACTTTGAACGTAAAATACATTGGTGTCCTTTCTGTAATGGAATGTTTGTTTTTACATTGTTTTGTCTTCTATGATTGGAAGTGGTTGATCCGTCGAAATCATTATGATGTATACGAACATGGATCATGGAGAAACCATAGCACTCATGATTTAGCTTTCATTAATTTTTTAATTCATTAATCAAACTGAACGTACGTATTAAAATCTATGTCATTTTGTACACCAAGTTTGAGGCAAATCCTTGTTCCACTTCTATGAGCGATATTCCCTGATGTAATATGTCCAAAAAATTGTAACTATTTAGTTTTACTGTATTTATTTAAATTTGCCGTGCACTGAACTATAAGAAGATGATTTAATAATTAGCAGCTGTTATGAATTGCTTTTGTAGGGTAACCTAGTAACCTAGTGGTCTTTTATCCCTGAAACTAGGCTCGAATTTTACTTATTTATTTGCACAAATATGAAGAGAAAGGAAAAATGTGAATAAAAAACAGCATGCATTATATTATAGAATATAGAAAAAGGTTGAAAGAGGGGTGATGTTAGGAAAAAAACTAATTTTCTTTGGGGTTAAGGTTTCTCTTATTCGTCCACAATAACAAAACCACACGCTCTTCCA